GGCACATTGGAAAGGGTCCTTGCAGAAAAACAAACCATTGACTTCTTTTCTCCAGTTCATCCTCTCCCACAACAATCAGCCATCCTGTAAACCCACTTACAACTGCACTTCTCAGATCAGTGGCTTTGGAAACTCCCTCAGGTGCGTCCCGTCCCTTCCATCTCCCAGGGTTGCAAGCCCAGGTAGGCCAAACTGACTCCAAAAGATGTGGGTATCTCCAAAGGTTTGAGTATCTCCAAGCTTTGGGTACTTACCACCTTCCTCAGGTTGAGAGGAAGGATAGTCTCATGGGTATGGCACTGGACTAGGACACGAAAAAGAACTGGATTCAGTGCCAGATTCTTTCACAGATTCTCTTACACAAAACCCTTAAGGTATGTCTACACAGCAATCAGAGGTGGTCTAGATCAGTGGTTCTCAGACTGTGAGTCGGAACCCCAAAGTGGGTCATGACCCCATTTTAATGGGGTCGCGAGGGCAGGCTTAAACTTGCTGGGGCCCAGGGCCAAAGCTTGAGCCCCATTGCCTGGGCCAAAAACCAAAGCCTGAGGGCTTCCTGGGTGGCGGGGCTCAGGTTACAGGCCCTTTGCCTGGGGCTGAAGCCCTGGGGCGGAGAGGCTTGGGCTTTGGCCCCTCCCACCCTGGGGTGATGGGCCTAAGGCAGGCTCAGTCTTCGGTCCCCCATCCTGGGGTCGTGTAGTAATTTTTGTTGTCAGAAGGGGGTCGCGTTGCAATGAAGTTTGAGAACCCGTGGTCTAAATATCTTGATTAACAATAGCAGAGAAGCTGCAGCAGACAGGCTAGTTACCTGAGAGCCTACTCAGAGTCCCGAGTGGGCTCGTCCTGTACAGCCCATGCTGATCAGGCTTCACTGCTGTGGTTATTCAATCCCGCTAGATCAAAGCTAGCTTAGTTATGTCCACACATGCTGCAGGTGCATCTCTCGCTGCAAAGTAGACAGAACCTTGGTTTCTCTGGAAAAAAAAGAGGTGTCACGGTGGATAATCGCAGACCATGAGCTGTCAGTGCAGTGCTGTGGCTAAAAGAGCTACTGCGATTCCGGGAGGCATGAACAGGGGAATCTCAAGGAGGAGCAGGGAGGTTATTTCACCTGCATATTTGGCACTGGGGCAACTGCTGCTGGAATGCTGTGTGCAGTTCTGGTGCCCACCGTTCAAGAAGGATGTTGGCAGATTGCAGAGAGTTCAGAGAAGAGCCACCAGAATGACTTCAGGATTAGAAACCCTGCCTCGTAGTGACAGACTCAAGAAGCTAAATCTATTTAGCTTAACAAAGAGAACAAACAACATAAGAACGGCCACCCTGGGTCAGACCAAAGGTCCATCTAGCCTAGTATCCCGTCTTCCAACAGTGGCCAATGCCGGGTGCCCCAGAAGGAATGAACAGAACAGGTAATCATCAAGTGATCCATCCCGTTGCCCATTCCCAGCTTTTGGCAAACAGAGGCTAGGGACTCCATTCCTGTCCATCCTGGCTAATAGCCATTGATGGATCTATCCTCCATGAACATATCTAGTTCTTTTTTGAACCCTGTTATAGTCTTGGCCTTCACAGCATCCTCTGGCAGGGAGTTCCACAGGTTGACTGTGCGTTGTGTGAAAAAATACTTTCTTTTGTTTATATTAAATCTGCTGCCTACTAGGCAGGTTAAGGGGTGACCTTATCAAAGTCTGTAAGTATTAACATGAGGAACAAATATTTGATAATGGGCTCTTCCATCTAGCAGAGAAAGGTCTAACATGATCCAGTGGCTGGAAGCTAAAACTAGAAAAATTCCGAATGGAAATAAGGTGTAAATTTTTAATGATGAGAATAATTAATCCTTGGAACAATTTAATTCCTCCATCACCGACATTTTTTAAATCGAGACTGGATGTTTTTCTAAAAGATCTGCTCTAGGACTTATTTTGGGGAAATTCTATGGCCTGTGTTCTACAAGAGGTCAGACAATGGTCCCTTCTGGCCTTGGAATCTATGGATCTCTGTGCCTCAGTACAGTGATCTGTAAAATGGGATTAAGAGTGCTTTGCTTTCTCCCACTCCTTGTCTATTCAGATTGGAAGCTTTCCAGGGCAGGGACTGTCTCTTGTTATGTACCTCAATAGCACCAGGCACGACAGGGCCCTGATCTCAGCCAGCACTGTAATACAACTCATGGAATGTGCATATGTGCACAAAGGCACTGTGGGGCCTGGAGTTTTATAAAGACACCTGACTGGGATGAAAATTCCACTTAGGGTGGATAATATCTCACTATCTCTATTCCAACTCACATCCCACGATCATTTCACAAAGCTTCAAAACAATCAGAAACCTAATGCTAAAAAGCCTCGTTATTATAAAGCTCATGGGCGGTGGGTGGACCCCCGCTTCAGGGAGGCTAGCCCCCTGGCCCTGCCCTTTCCACATGAGGCCCTGCTCCCCTGCCTACCAGAGCTCCAAGTCCCCCTTCCCCCGGAGCCCTCCCCGCCCCCCACAGTTGGAGCCCCGAACTCCACACACACACACCGCAGCCGGAGGAGCCTTGGGCCAGCCCCAGCTTCCCCGAGCTGGCCCAAGCCACTGAATAGGAAATGTGCCGTGCCTCCCCTCCTGAGACCCCGACCCGCCTAGTGGGAAAAGCAAAAGTTCTTCCAGAAGAACCTGAGTTTTTTATATGCGCCACGCAGGTTCTGGGGCGGCTGAGGAGGCGGGATCCGCTACTCAGATTCCCAGGTTCATCAATCATCTCCCCTGGCCTGCTATTCCTGCCACCTATGATAAAGTTATAATAACCAAAAACATGGTTCTCCCCGGAAGTAGAAGCTAATGCCACCATAACATTTCGCTGATGGACAAAGACTGAAGGAAGAGACTTTTCTCAACCCATGTTGTGTTCATTGGATTCCTGCATACAGATAATACAGGTAACAGTTATATCCCACCTGGGACCATAAAGCTCTGCTGGTAATTTAGGTGGATGGCACAGCTACTGTAATTTCATAGTGTGCTGTTCCAAGTTATTTCCATAGAAACTGTTCTGTCAACTTGTAATTTTCACACTAAGTGCATCCCACCATATTATTTCTGCAACGCAAAAATGACTGTATTTTAGCATGGAAAAGCAGTTATTGAGTCCTTGCGGAAAACACTGTTCCCCAGTGAGATAAAAGGTCTAAATTTAGAGAAAATCTGCTACCGAGCCAATATGATCTCCAACAGGGGTGCCTCCATGAGCATTTGAGCATACCAGGGGTCAAAAGGTACAGACTAAACTGTGGTTCTATTCTGGGAACTGACCGTGTGAAAATATCTTTTATTGCACCAACTTCTGCTGGTGAAAGAGACAAGCTTTTGAGTTGCTCAGAGCTCTTCAGAGCTGCTGCTGCTCCCAATGTGTCTTCAGAGCAATCTCTGCTTACTTCAGTGACAGCCTTTTTCTCCGCAGAACCAGCAGAGAGATGGGGGTAGCGTTTTTTCAGGCTCATCAGTGTGATTTTAAACAAAGGTCCTGATCCAAAAGAAGCACTTAAGCACATGTTCGACTTTAAGCCCACGCGTTGGATGCTAAAGCACATGATCCCGTGTTTTGCTGTATCACAGCCTGCATTCAAAGTGCAGGCCCACCTTTGCAACTTCACTGCCTTTAAATTATTTCCTCAGTTACACCCATGCCACCTCCCTGAAGGCAACAAAACCACACCAGTGTAGTTGAAGCCAGAATCTGAGAAAAAGGGAGTTGCACAGAGGTCACCGAGGGCAGTTGGCCTACAGCCTCGTGATTATGGTAATTACACGCGAGCTGAGAACCCAACTTGGCTCTCAGATCTTGACTGAGTTTACAGGGCTGGTTAGTAAAAACATTTTTTATTTGTGAACTGAGCAAACATGGGGTAGGAATCACGGAGATGCAGCAAACCTGGGAACCCCCTGATGCAAGTTCCATAAAAAAAACACCACCACTTTTAAAGGGGGCCCTATTATGCTATGAGCTGTGCAGTTAAACTGAGAAAGTCCCTACTCTGAAGAGCTTGCCAGACAAAGAGTGGAAGCTGAAAAATACCATTATACCTTTTTTACAGATGGGGAACTAAGGCTTAGGGAGATTGAGTGACTTCCCACAAGGAGTCAGCAGCAGAGACGGGAACTGAACCCTAGATCTCCTGGGTCTACGTCAATGTTTAACTACAAGACCATCTTTCTGGTCTCCTTTAGCTATATAATTAGTTGCTCTGTTTTAATAAAGGAAAAAGTGTGTGTTTCTTCCTGTTCCCTGACCATTGGAGCCCTGGTTGTTACTAATAATGGCCCTCAGTTCAGCTTCCTCTTGTAAGGCAGGTCAGAGAGTCTTTCATTACAAGTGTCCCCTTGTTCGGGGAACACATACGAAAGCGACCAGTCTCTTCTGCTCTATCCTCACTCCAAGCTAGCGCTTTCAGTCTCCAAAAGCAATCAAAGAACAGGAATGGAAGTGTCTTGGGATCGCTCCTTTAACTATTGTCCAGCAGAACATGGGGCGTTTAAGACACAGATACGACAATGCACAGGATAGAGTTTGTCAGCATCTCTCCCAAAAAGTAGCGTCACTGCAAAGGCTTGTCAGTCACTGTTACTTAAGGAGACTTCAACAACCCCAGTCAAAAATGAAGGGATTAGGCTTTCATAACAAATTAGCCTCAACTATCTTCTGTTCAAAAGTTAATGCATGGGTGAAATTAATTTGCTCTGCTGCCCGTATCGATCCTGGGTCTGTATCTAAATAAATGTCTGCGTGGACAGCACACTTCCAAAAATGATTATTTAGGGATGAGGGAAATTCCCGACACATAAGAATTCTGCTCCGATTTACACCAGTGTAATTTATTAAATCCAGTTGCGTTACTCCTGATTTACACCAGTGCAATATCAGACCCTGGCGGTACGTTTCATGTCAGCACTGACCTTTTTGTCATCCCTCCACCCAACTCAATGAAGCTGAAATCTGTTGCCAGCTGATTTACCTGTTGTTATTCTTCAGTTTGATGTGACCAGTCGGTTCTAGGATCTGCCCGTTCTTCAGCCAGGTGATCTGAGGGGGAGGCTCTCCCTGGGCCAGGCAGGTGAAGATCGCAGTCGTCCCTACAGGTCTGGAAATTGACTGAGGGTGTTGCACAAACTCAGCAGGGGCTGTGAAGGGAAGGAAAGTGAAGCATGAGGAACACTGCCAGGAGCCAATGTTGCCCTGGCACCAAGCCCGTTCTAATCACTTGGTGTAAAATAACCTGAGTCAATTTTGTGAGCGTGGCGAAGGCTGACAACAGAAAACCACCGCAGTTTATCAGATCCAGAGGTAGCTCGGCAGGTTTGACAGGCGTGTGTGGTCTACAGATAACTATAGATTGTGCTTGCCCATCTGTAACCAGGACTGTAACCAACTAAAGAATAGAGCTGGGCTGGTTAATTGGGGAGAGGAATTTTCAGTAATTGGATGAGCTACTGATGCCAGGTGGGCTAGTCATTTAAAAACACAAGGTCCCCTTCCTGCTCTTTAAGGGACCTGGATGCTTGTTTGTTTACACAGAGGCGTGTTATTATATTAGGCTACCCTGAACCACAAAGCCCTGGCTGCTTACCATGGCTTTGCAGCAACGGTACTATGGCTCTGGGCCAGTGATATGCTGGTACAAGGCCCATGTGATGAAGGCTCTTTAAAAATGAATCTTGCACATTAGAAAGGACCTGCTGGAACTTTGTTGATCTGAATGAATTCAAACACAGGCATGAAATACAAAAACCAGAATCATCTCCCTTAATATGTTTTTTTAATATCATGTGCTGGGGAGTGTTGGATTCATTCCTTCTTTCTCCTTGTGATTGATTGTGTACGTTGCATGAAATGAGCTCTGGTGAAAGGTGCCAGATCAGCAGCTCTGCAGGCCCGTTTGAAAGTGTGAGCCCCCAAACATAGTGTGTATCATTCCAGTGCCACTTTCACATCCTTCCACGCCCCAGCCCACACACAACCAGGAATGGCAAATTATACCATAGCTTTGCACTCTACAGGAAGTCCCGTGGTTAGAGTGCTGGGCATGGAGTCAGGAGTCCTGGGTTCTATTCCCAGCAGTGACTTGAAATGTGTCTTTGGGCAAGTCGTCTCTGAGACTCCGGTTACCCACCTTCACAACAAATACCATGCCACCGAACTCAGAGCGGCAGCACAAGGTCTACTTAATGTTAGCAAAGAGCTTTCCGATGCTCAAATGCAACATATTACAACAATTCTCTCTCTAAACGGGAGCTCAAGCTCTTCAGCTATACAAATCACTCTGGAAATTGGAGTATGCTGCAGAGTTTTCCAGTATACGTGCAAATGGAGTTCAAATGAGACACATTCATTTCCATCTGCCTGGCTGTGGAGCAATATGGAGTTTGTTAGCGATCAGCATTGCTTCATTCAAAGAGACAAACAGTTATGAGAGTTTCTGGCAATACCATTCCAAATATGATTATTTTGTACTGCAGTAACGCGTAAGAGCACCAGTCATGGACCACAGCCCCACTGTACTAGGGGTTATACATTCATAGAACAAAAAGCTGTTCCTAGCTTCAAAGAACTTCCCATCTATTTATAAAACAAGAGCCAACAGGTGAATCAAGACAGACAGACAAGGGAACCACAAGGAAACAAGACAGATGAATAAGAGAGTTCATTTCTTTACCCTATACACAGCCAGCCAGAGACGAACATGTGCTCATATACAGTGGTCGTCACCCAGAGAGCCCAAAGCACTTTATATAGGAGGGGGAGTATCATTCTTCCCATTTCACAGATGAGGAAACTGAGGCACAGAGAGGTGACGTGACTTGCCCAGAGTCAGCGGCACGTCTGCAGTGGAAATCCGAACACCTGACACTCTCCACTAGATGATGCTCTCTTAGCGAGCTACAAATGTTTTGGCAGCTACATACAGCATGGTTTTACAATAGTAACATATCAAAGGTTTGGCTGGCCATTCTCGCCTCACCAGATTCCCATTTGCTGCAGGTTCATAGGCCAGTTACAGGTCAGAGCAGGCCCTGTATGCCCAAGTCTTCAGCCTGGGACCCAGAACATCTCTGATTGCTACTCAGTTCACAATAGTCACAAACGTTTCTGACTTTTCACCGGATTTTAACAGGAAATGATTTCTCCCCCCTCCGAGCAGCTCATCTGAGGCTTAAAATCATTTATCAGAATAGAGCAATATACTGGGATCCAGAAAGCGGCGCTTGAAATGCATGCTTGAGTAGCTGAGTTTCTACAAGCAGTTACGCTTCAAAGGGCAAAGCTATAATACACTCCATATTGCTGCTTCTAAGACCCGAATCCAACTGCAATCTCCAGCAGTTCCTAGGAAGACAAACAAACAACAGCCACAGGTCTAATGAATTTATAGCCCAAAGGCACAAAGTGGCTAGCTGACATTAAATATTTTTGACAAAAGCAAGGTTATTTAGTGAGGGAGGCTCACTGCACAGCAGGCATTTTCCAAGCAGAAGATTAGCAGGCACGGCCATGAAAGATGCACATATCCCTTCCCTGCCACACTTACATCGCCGGACTTCCAGAAATCTAGGACACAAACAGGCTTCCCTAAGATGTGGCAGCCAGGTGAAATTCAGAGACGGCCCAAGGTCCACGATCCACTATGGTCTTCGGGTTATTCTGGAATAGCTACTGATCTTTAAATTCACACCCTTTCTTAATCTGAATTAACTTTCAAGTGCAGACCAGCCCTCATTACTTGCACGGAAGCCTTATGTCTTGCACCGCTGTAGTGCTGACCCTCTGCAGAGGAGCGAACTTTACCCTGCCTGAACAAAAAGCCTCTCTCTCTGAAGAGGACTGTAATCATGGGACAATCTTGGATTTCTATTGGCTGTGGTGGTTGGTCCAGTGCAGTGGTCGGGTAAGAGCAATGTGAATAATAATAATAAATAATAATAATAATGACTAATTCTGATCATTGCTATTACCTGGCTTCTATAGCACCCTCTGCAAGCCTCGAAGCACCTTGCAGGGCTGCAAATTATATACATACAGAGCCTGATTTTCAGTGCATGCCTCCAATTGTGTGTGTACACATATATGTATGCACAAAACTTTGTCACCACAAAATCAGAGACTGGATTGCAGCCTGGCTGAAAAAATCACACCCCACGGGGTTCATTTCACCCATCTGCCTGGCAGGATGCAGGGATGAAAGTTAAGCCACTGGTCTTTTGTGATTTTCTCCCCATCCATTCCCACTTCAAATCAAATTCAGATAGAGGGACCCCTCCCTGTAACACTGTTTGGCTGTTATTCTTTGGGAGTTGCTCAAATTCTAAGGGGACGGTCGCTATTATAAAAAGCAGATTGGCTACATAGATGCTGGGCCGTTTGTTCTTTACTGACTCAGATGGAAAACAGTCTCCTGGGCCTGTACAGAGCAGGTCCTTCCCTGCTTAACTAGCAGTACGCTAATTAGAGTGCAGCCTGAGGTGAAATGGCTCCATGACACCTCTGAAGCATCCCCGTGCAGGTGACATCACTGCAGGAGACGAAGAACTCCCCAACCTTGGGAAATCTGATTCCGGAGCAGCCTGTTAAAAGTCTTGTTTCAAATAGACGTTTGCCAGTTATTTAGACAGAGGCAGGAGGAGCACGCTGCATTCCTGTCTGGGAAATAATTTGTTCAAATGCCATATTTCCATGCAAATGTAGGAGTGAAATGACTTCCGCCTCATTTTACAAATCGGCTTGAGGCCTCCATGCAAAAGGAGGGAAAGAGAGAAGGAAAAGAATTCTGCTAACAGAGACTGGCACCAACAAGGTGGGTATGTTAACATGGTGCCTCCCGAGAGCCAGCAGTGACCACAATACACATAACGAGACTGTTCGTGAGATGAAAACATTGGTGGTTTGTTCCCTTGCAAGAACGATCAGTCTCGTGAAGGTTGCATAAGTGTCCCCTCACGGGAGGAAAAGTCCAAAGGCTGGGTCCAACTCTCCTCTCCCACCAAGTAAATCCTATACACCCAGACAGCTCCATTTTCTCCACTGGAGCTACTTCCGAGTTACACTAGCATGATCAAGGAGAGAGCCGCACCGCCACCCTTGTGTGTGTATTTGACATCTGGTATAGACTCTGCAGGGGATTTTTTAAAAAGCCAACCCCCACTCCTTTCACAATCAAAGCTGTACGAGAAAATGGCATCCTGACTACGGTTCCAAGGTCAAAGCAAAGCTAAAGGTATCGACACTGAAGAGCAACGTCATAAAGATGGCAAACCCTGAGAGCGGCAATACAAAAAAACCCACTGAAGAGAATCATAGAATATCAGGGTTGGAAAGGACCTCAGGAGGTCATCTAGTCCAACCCCCTGCTCAAAGCAGGACCAACCCCAACTAAATCATCCAACTAAATATTCCTCACAAGAGCCCCGCTCTTTCATTTTTAATAATCAAAGAGAAGTGGAGCATTGTCAACTTGACTTACGCGAGCAGTAGGGGGATGTTCCACTGACGGAGTTCATTGTCAGGCTAGTTTTTCAGGAGCCAGAGACTAATAATCTTAGAAACCTACTGGACACGTATTCCTAAAACCTGAAACTTCCCTGGATTCCAATCAATGGGTTTTCTCTCCCCCCAACCCAACTTTTTCACCTCCTAGACAAAGTTAATTTTTAAATTAAATTAAAATGGAGGATGATTTTGGTAGGAGAATGACAAACAGAAAGAGGGGGAGAAAACCCTGTTCCCTGCAGCAAATGATCGCTTTGTATTGCTTAAGTGGTGTACAGTGACAGCGTGACACGGTGGAGACCTAATTTTCAAGCAGTGACTTAACCTTCCCTCCCCTTTGTGCTGGTGGAATTTTGCAAGCACAATTATTCTGCAAGCAGTTTGATGCCCGCCCGCTTTCATCGGAAGCCTGCAGATCATTTTGCCCTCAATGCTGCAGGTGCGCTCAAAGGCACTGAATGAGGACACAGACATCTTCCAACTCCATTCGTACTGTTTCATTAAACTCCTGCCACTTGGCTGGTTGCCTTTACCCCCCGAAAACCTGAACCCGCTAGTTGTTCAAGGGAAAACATCTTTTAACCAGGGAAGAAGCCATCCAGCAGAACACTTCTGGAGTCACTCTCTCTTCTCATTCTCT